TTTCACAGGTTACCCAGCGATGCCTGTCTACTGGGCTTTAGGCTACCATCTCTGTCGCTGGGGCTACAACACTAGCGATTCTACCTGGGAGATTGTCAAGAGCATGAGGAATTATAAGATACCCCAGGTACAGTTTCCTCAGGACTATGTCTGTTATTATGACCTGTTGGTTTCTTTTGTGAAATAATTATGTGTGTCGATTTGTTCCCAGGACGTCCAGTGGAATGATATCGACTACATGGACAGATTTTTGGACTTCACTTTTGACTCAACAAAATTTGCCACGCTGCCTGATCTGGTCAAAGACCTGCATGCTCATGACCAGCGCTACGTCATGATCCTGGTACACAGGAGTTTGTATTTGCTTTCATATGTGTGTTGTGTCTGTCATTCAAGGTGTATTGTGTTGTGTGACAGTTGTGTCTCAACCTGCAGGACCCAGGTATCAGCAGCACCCAGCCTGAGGGCTCATACTGGCCGTACGATGAAGGGCTGAGGAGAGACGTTTTTATTAAAGACGCTGAAGGAAAAACACTCATCGGGAAGGTAAGACACTAAACCCTGTGCTGATGTTTCACAAATGAGATTAAGACACAATAACTACTCTCTGCTCTGCGGTCAAAAGGAAAACATTCAGGGTGTATTGGATTTAAAAGTCTCATCTCTTCCTCCAGGTGTGGCCTGGTCTGACAGCATATCCTGATTTCTCTGACAATGCGACACATGAGTGGTGGTACGAAAACCTTCGGAGGTTCCATGAGAAGGTGCCATTTGACGGATTATGGATTGTAAGTATGGAAATGAGTGATACTGGTGAAGAACTCGTTGTAAGGATTATTATTGTGGCTCTCTTAATTTCATGATATCCCTGACCTTTGTCTCATTCATTTTTTTAGGACATGAATGAGCCGTCAAATTTCTTGGATGGGTCTACCAATGGCTGCCCATCAAACAGTCTTGAAAATCCTCCTTACACACCAGGTGGGAGATGTGGATCTCAACTACAAAATTCACCACAACAGAGTACATGTGATTATCAGAATGTAATGTTGGGTCTTTTTCCTTTTTAGGTGTACTAGGAGGTCTGCTGAGAGCCAAAACTGTGTGTGCCACTGCACAGCAAAAGCAGTCTATACACTATAATATGCACAGCCTCTATGGACTAATGGAAGCTAAGGCATCTGCAAGGTGAAGACCTACACACACACACACACA